CTTGAGGTATTCGGCCAATCACAACGCACTGGATAGCTGGCCAATCAGAGCACACCTCGCTTTTCAGACCGATGAGCTTTGTAAAAATCGACGTGTTTCAGAAAGGCGAGGCATAGAGGAGAAACAATAATGTACAGTATGTGGAAAATAATGTGTTTTTTGAACCTTAAACACATTTCATTACACCAAATACACAAAATAATTTTATTTTTTAGCAACATCATATGACCCCTTTAATAATTTCCTTCAATATAGCATTTTAATGTTGTATTAAAATATTGAAATATTAAAAACATTTTTTTCCACACATCAAAATTGTCTTTATACATGAAAGTAAATGATTACCCTTTCTAAAACGTAGTGGTCCATGGAATCCAGAATTTTCTGCTTGTCAGTCATTTTAAACATAGGTCTAATTTAGGCTGATTAGTGAAACTGCTAACATTTCACAGCACCTATAAGGAGCTGGAAGGCATGCTTTGACCCAGGTTCTGGAAAAGTGGAATCTGCACACAGATTACAAGCAGACACTGAAACAAGCATATTGATCTGAGAGGTTATTTAGGGTCGCATTAAAATGAATATGGACTTATAAAGATATTGAAAGAACGCACAAGTGATCAAAGATCAGCTGAAGCGTTTAATGAAGTAGTTTTGGTTCATTATTCTCTACATGATACAGTACCTCATTACTGTTCTTCTCATGATTCTGTACCTGTTTCCTGTGCAGCTGGCTCTGATGGAGGCTCGGGCTCAGTACCAGAACATGACTAACATGGAGCTGATAGCTCTGCTGCTTCAGCAGGAAATGGATGTCAAGAAGCAGCGGGCTGAAACTGAGGTGCAGGTGGCGTTATTGGAGAAACGTGAGGCCGAACTGAAGAAGATGAAGGTTCAGGTCAGAGACCTGGAGGACTACATTGACAAGCTGCTGGTGCGCATCATGGAACAGACGCCGACCTTGCTGCAGGTACGCACCAGACCAAAATGACTACAGTGACCTGCTCCGTCCCGAGAACACCTCATATTGTTCTAAAGCCATTTGTGATGCTCTGTTAACTTTCAAAACTGCCAGATTCACGTAGACACGATAAAGCTTTGCATGCTTCTTACTGGATTTCCAAATCCACAATCATTGAGGTTTAGCATACTCCTAGTCATGCTATGAGCACAAGGCAGTGGTTAAAAGTTTAAAAAAAAAAAAAAAGAATGTATAATTAGATCTTGTTGATCACGTGTAGATGTAAATATTCATAGAATCTACACAAATATGTCGTCTTCATAAATATGCTAATTTCCATAATAGGAAATAAGTTCTGGGATCTTTATGCATTCAAAATGTCAAACAAACTGTCTCTAAATTTATACAAATCCATAAATGCAAGTAAAAAAGCACTGCCTTTATTAATTGGCTTCTTTAACCGTTAACACTCATCTTTCCTCATAATTGGACATATTTGGAACAAAATGATAAAATAACACTAAAAACAAAAACTCTGAAACTTCTCAACTAATGTGTCAAACTTCCATATCTCAGTCCTGTCCATATTTCAAGAAAATATTGTTTCAGATTTATTGACATGGTATTCACATGGTATTAAAACTAATACATTACACTGTTCGATATGAATCCAGAGATTTAAAACAGTAATATTTAATACATAATATGTAGTCTAATACACCTTGTGTCAAAGTTGATGTAAAATACTGCTTTAATATTATGTAAATGTAAATAAATATCTTACTTCTTGATAGCTTTAAACGCACCTTAATGCAAAACCGTTGTGCTTGAGCCAGTCAGCTTTGCCTCATAGAACCGCTGATATTAGTGCATGCTCACTTCCATCAAGCACTCGCACAAAAGCAGAGATTGTCTCTGCAAACATGTAAGCTATGCAATACAACCTGCTAAGCTGTAGCTTGAGTTAATATATGCTACACAAAAGATATCCATGAAGCCTTAGCACTGTAGCATACTTAGATGATTGCTAAAGTAGCAAGTTTAGTGATATGCAAATGCCTAAGCTTTCTAAACCACAAAAAACGATGGAAGATCTGTTGTTTGTTTTACTGCATTGTAACTTCATCGTGTTTAGTGATTTTCTCTGATATTCATTCTGATTGTGTTTTATACCATTGTTTTTGTTCTGTTTTCAAAGATAAAGTTACATGTGACTTTTGTTCATTATACAGTATTCAGTGTTTTCTTGGTTGATGTTTCCTGATTTATTAGGCTGATGAGATGAGATTCTGTCATACAAGAACATCAGTTCTATGTCTCAGTATTGGACGTAAAGAAAGTACAGGGTTCCTGTTCATTTTGTTGACTCAAGGCATCAATTATTTTGTGTATCACCAACAATAAATTCTGGAAAAATAAATAAATAAATAAATAAATATATATATATATAAAACTTTTTTTTTTTATAGTTCGAGTTTCAGCATGTGTTGCAGGAAAGAACCATGTATCACTGTGATTCTAGATTGCTGCTGATTCATTTTGCCTTTTAATCTCCATTTTGCAGTGTGCCTCTGGATTTATTTACAACATTCACATTTGTATTTTTTATTTTGTTTTATTTATTGCTAATTATTTCAAACAGCTTCATTTTCAAAGTTATTTTAAAATAAAGTTTTAAAATCATTTGCAGTGTTTTTGTTTGAGTTCTTTACATAAATGACTTGTATAAAGGCCTGTATGGGTTTATGAGATTTGTGCTTCATCTTCATCTGAACCTGAACAGTATGGTGGTTCTCACATCCACATCCACAGTCACAGTAGTGATATATTTAATTGCCACTGGGTGGCACTACCGCACTTACAAGAAGTAATACGTTTATTTATTGTACTTCACTTGTGCTTGGCCCACTTTGTGAACGTTAGACTAAATTGTAATAGTAACAAAATTTTGTATATTGCATAAAAACAGTCTATTGGTAAAAAGTACATAATGAATGAAAATAATAATGTTGTGGGAATCAAAGCTCAAACTGACAGTGTCTCTGCTTGCATTGTTTGGGCTCAGTGTCGAATGGCAATGACATTTTGCCTGTTTTAACATGAGTATGCCACAGTAATGCAAATTTGATCTTTAACAATTACTATGGGGATAGAGGAAACTCATTCTTAGTCAATTGTCTCTGGTGGAACAAACATATTGTCACAAAATATTCCCTAAATGTAGTTATGTCCTGAGTGTAGGCTTGATTGGCATAGTGTTAAAAGCCTATACTGTTTTAAGAGCAACTAAGGGGAAATGTTAATGTTTATTTTAAACCAAACTAACATCACTCAACAACATTTATTTGTCTGATATTGTTATTTTTATGATTCATATATGATACAGTTGATTGTGAATCATAAAAACAACCACATCTCCTCAATGTGATTATTCAAGATTGACTATTTTTAAATTATTCAAGAGATAGTATTTTTAACTGCTTGGGTAGATGTTTTCTGCTCCTTCAGTGACCTTTTTTATTACATAATCCTCATATTTAGGACTGGGGGTGGAACACATTTAATATTTTAAGAATCATCCATTGAAAAACCGCTAATCTGAATATTTGTCTGAATACCCCTCACAATATCTGTGGTTATGGCTCTGATATATATGCACATGGATGATATTTGGAGTTAATTCTGAATGATCCGTTCTGAATGATTATTGTTGTAGCCTATAGGTATTTTGTATTACATACGTCTAAATCTCATGAATGGTTAAACTTATTTAACATTACATTAATTAATTTATGATTTGAACCATTCAAGACTTGTATAAAGGTTTTAACAAAAGGATATTTCAGAATCATTCGTTTATTTTTTTATGGATATGTATTTCTATGGTTAAAAGGTCTTATTTGGTGTAAACCATCGTAATTCTTTAGATGTAAATTATTTTGCTCAACTTCAAAGTTGTTAGAAAGCAGCAGATTTTTAAAAATAACATTGTGATGAATGTATATCTTTCAGACTTTTGTAATTGCAGTGGGTGTGGATGGAATGCGCTCTATCTGCTTTGTCTTTGAGTTCATCAGGAAACTACATTTCCCATGAACCCCTGCGAGCTATTGCTTCACTAGTTTCGTGCCCGAGTTGACTATTCTTACAAATTCCGTCTGATGGACCTTTTTATTATTTAACTTCACTCCAGCGCTGCTGAGATGGCGGAATCTGCGTCTTGTCCGGTGTTTCAGCTGGGAAAACCGCGTTACGAGCAGGTAAAGATTTTGCCGCGATGTTAAAGTGCATCTTTGTCTGGGCATCTTTGATGGGCGTTGATAAACAACAAATGTGTGTAGATACCTTTCCTTTGCTCCAGCACTGTACTGCGAAAGTCACCAATTTCTCACCCTTTTTTTGCGTTGTATGTTTTGCTCGTTGCTTCATCGCAATTTAACTGGCCGATGTTCGTGATCAGCGTAACAGAGGTTTTGGTAGCACCGTTATATTAGAAACCCCATAAAACATTAAATGCATGCACAGCAGCTTTTCTTTTTATAAGTAAATAGCAGGAAATTAGTAGGGCAGGATTTTATTTTTTTTTAAAGCTGTTGAATACAATTTCACTGGTCACTTTTATTTTTGCATTGCGTGGGAGTGATTTCGCGGGACACTGTCAAAGTTCATAATATTTTCTGAAAAACTGCCTGTCCTCCCGGTTTTATTATTTTTTCTAAAACAAATGTTGTTATACACAGGATGAACTCGGGTATTTAAGTTTTAACCCATTTTTAAATAGGGTCGCTTTTGCTGAACGAATGCAAATAATCGTCTCATCAATTGTGTTATCTGTGAGATCTCTCGCGCTCGTGTCGGGCAAATGAATGACCATCTATTTAAGTCCTGTTGCCTCCATGGAAACACCGCAGTCATCCGAATTAACCCGTTCAGACCCGAATTGTGTTCCAATATATTTATACTGTGAATTCAGTCATAAATGATAATCAGTCAAAAAATTGTTAATGGTAATGTTTCAATAGGTAGTTCTGATGTCCATATTGGACAATATTGGTTCTGAACAACACTGGATAATCATGCTGGATCTGATTTAAAATTTCAAGAACACTTTAAAAAATGTGAATACAGAAGTATAGTAGATTCAGGTATTTTTAATATATGTACATTAATGATAACATGAATTCAGTAACAATTTGGAATTGATTTTCTGAATACCTAAATGTTCTAAAAAATATATATTTTATTTATTATAATGTTGTAAAATGTTGTAAACACATAAAACGGTGTAAATTTGTGGTTGATTGTGACTGTAATCGTGTCAGTTTTGCAGTCGTATTCAGTACACCTGTTTTGCTTATATTGAAGCATACTGTCAATTACAATGTACATTTAAATTTTAAAAAATGTTCAGCATAATATTATTACTGCAGTACTTCATTTGAAAATAACCTTACATTAACATTGTCTTAGAGGGCAGAATGGCGAGGTATAATCTGCCTTCCCTTTGTTAGTCTGCTCGTATATACATACCGTATATTGTCTCTGTCTGAAAGCATCCAAATGAAATACTTCGCTCAGTGTTCTTTTTGATGCAGTCATGAGTTTCATCTGATTATTATGCCATATGCTGCCCAAATAAGTCTGCTTTGGGTCCACAGGGAATACAACCAAACAAAAGATCACTGCCCCGCTGACAAGCTGGTCCAAGATATTTCTGAAAATATATGTGCTAATATACTGTCTTTTGCCTGTGGTCTGTCCCTGTCTTTATCATCATTCTCTGTTGAGGCTGAATCAAAATCGAATTGGTGTTATGGCAAAATCCAGCACAAGTGCACTTGACAAATGCAGACAGTTGTCTTTTTTTATTGCTGCTGTTTTTAGGTGAAATCAATGCATCTGAAGGGTATGGGTGTATGTTTTCTTCCTGCTCCATCTCTGCTAACTGTGTTGCATATTCTCTGGGGAGCAGAAACACATGCATAATTAACAAGTCTTCTCCAGCAGACATGTGCTCACATGGCTCTCTGCAACAGCTTTGAAGCAAGTGTCTGTAGCCTAGAAATAGGATTATTAGCCGAGCAAAGTCAGATTTTCTTGCTCTCTTCACCATATATTGTAAGGTCAAATGGATTTCAGCTTTTGTATGCCTTACCCCTGGATAAATCATTTAGATGCAGTTGATTGAAGCTGCTTTTTTACACTGTGTTCTTTGCCAAAGAAACCCTTGGCATGCTCAACCATCGGGCCTCTGAAACAGTTGGCTCTCAGAAAACCGCTTGCATTGCTGCCTGGGGTTCAGAGACAGTGGGAATGTTGATGCAGGCAGTCGTCGCTCCTTTGAGCACATTCTGCACAACCTGTCAGTGCGTTGTCATTGCAGCCCTAAAATATTTCAATCTAACTCTAAACTAAATTTAGAACAGCTCTTGACAGTTGAAGGTATAAGACAGCAAGTTTTAATCATGTTTTGGTTTGTGCTGTGAGGAGGTTGTCCTGTTTGCATCTTAGGTTCTGGCTAAGAATGTAAGTTTGTGGAACTGAAGGAATGTTTTTCTTCCTCAGAGCACATTTCTTGGCAGGTTGAGACATTTCATTGATATCATCGATCCTTCCACTTTGTTTGTGACGGAGGTATGGAAATCTTGTCTGTGTTATGTTATGTTACATTAATCAGTGAGTCACATTGCTTCTTACCCTGTAATGATCTTTCCTTTCTTTTATATACTGTAATTATGTCACGTCTATAAAGAATGTATGTTGATTCTTATCAACTAATTAAAAATTCTGGATGAGTTCTATATTATATACTTTCGGATTTTATTTTTATAGAGTCGTTTAAAAGAATGTATCAAACTCCTGGATGATTTTAAGCAAGGGAATCTTCCTCCAGGAATTACAGATCACCAGGTGAATCTCGGACACTTATGTAGTATATGTGGTGAAGTGCTTTATATAGTGACTTGTGTTCTGTGTTCTGTGTTGAGCTCTGGGAGGCTCAGAAGGTGAAGCAGGTCAGTCTTCTGGTCATTGTTCACTGTCACTTTTAAATGATGGTTGGAATTACAGTCACTGACTCATCTCTTTTCAGGCCATCATTCACCCCGATACCGGTGAAAAAATCTTCATGCCTTTCCGCATGTCAGGTAAGAGCATAGAGAGGGTTAGAAGCATTTAAATAATATAAAATGATCACTGTATACACAAATAGAAATGCATACATGTTATTCAGGATCCTTTCATATATATAAGGATACATTAAACTGATCAAGTGTCAGTAAAGACTTACATTGTTACAAAATATCATATTGTAAATGAATGCAGTTCTTTTGAAGAAAGAATCCTGTAAAAAACGTATCACAGTTTCAACAAAATATTAAGCAGCACAAATGTTTCT